ACTCGCCTGGGCGTCGTTTCTGGATGGGCTGGCGCCGATGCGCGAAACGTCAACAATTTGTTCTCTGACAGTCGCCACGCTAATCCAAGGTTGCGAGCGGGCCCCCCTTCGGGAGCTCTCGGCGCTGGCTTCGAGCCGTTCTGAGTGCCTCGTGGGCCGCCGGGCCGTTCTGGAGCTCTCTGGAAGTCTTGGCCCTTCCGTGCTGTTTTGGGAAGTCTTTCAAGGCGTTTCGGGGGCAGTCTGGGGGCCCCGTCGGGCCGCCGTAAAGTTTTCTTGGGGCGCACGGGGCCAACTCATCGGAGTGCCGTGCGAGGCCGTCGCGAGTCTCTCTTGGGCCGCTCTGGGCACGGTGAGAAGGGCGATGGCGCTTTTCCTCGGAGCCTCTGCAGTGCGTCAAGAAGCCCAAGCCGAAGCGGCCAAGTCCAGTCCTAGATCAAGGTTTCCCCTCCAGGGCGCCGCAAGGAGCAGCGTCTGCAAGAGAACCAACAGCATCGGCGCGCATGTGCAGCACCCTGCCAACGAGCGCCACACCTCGACGCTGCCTTCCCCGTCTGCGGGAATCCCGGCGGCGGCAGCCAGTTCGCGGCCGATCAGCACGCGGCCCGCTCGGCCGCCTGGAAGAGGTCAAGTCAACATCAGGGGCACAGGAGCAACGGCGGCGTGCGGAAAAGGGAGAGAGGAGAGAGAGAGAGAGAGAGAGAGAGAGAAGAGAGAGAGAGAGAGAGGAGAGAGAGAGGAGAGAGAGAGAGAGAACACAACAAAAAACAGAGAGAGAGAGAGAGAGGTAGGAGAGAGAGAAAGAAAGAAAGAAAGAAAGAAGAAGAGAGCAGAAGAGAAAGAGAGAGAGAGAGGAGAAAGAAAGAGAAAGAGAGTGGAGAGAGGAGAGAAGAGAGAGAGAGATAGAGAGAGAGAATAGAAGAGAAAAGGGTGGGAAGAAAGGAAAGAATCGCGAAGAGGAGCTAGAAAAAGCGAGGGAAGAGAGGTCGCGACGATAAGAGAGAGAGATGATCATAGAGCTATATATAGACAGGAAAAAAAACAAAGAGGTACATAAAAACAGCCCAGGATAGAGAATGCCGTGAAGGGTCGGTTTGCCCTGGCGGCCTGAACCAGAGAACCAGAATTCCGAATTGTCCCGCAATGGGCCCGCCAGCAGCGCCCCTGGCGGCAGCGGCTGCCTGGCGCCCAGGCCCGCGGACAGGTCCACGACGAACCCGTGGCCCCTGCGCTCCGCCGACGCAAGAGCGAGCAAGATCTTCTTCTTGTCGTCCAGGACGCGGAACCATCGGCTCTCGCCGAAAAGAAAAAAAAAAAAAAAAAAAAATCAAAAACAAAAAAAGACAATAAATCAAACAAACAAAAAAGGAACAATCCAACCACAAACCCACACAAAGAACAATAAAAAAAAACAAAGCGTCTGTCCCGCTTCCACGGTCCCGGCCTCTTCCCTTTTTTCGTCAAGCCCACCACCTGATGCCCTTCTGCCAGCCCACTGGCAGGGCGCGCGTTTGAACCGCCTCCCGCTGCAGAATGGCATCGTCGATGTAGTCCGACCACACCGTCGCCGAAGCCTCCGCAAAAGCCTCGAGGGGGGGGCCGCGGATCTGCCGTGCCTCGACGCTCTCTGCGAACACGCGGAAGAACTCAGTCCCCGACTCCATGTTCAACAGGGCGCCCCCGCGCGCCGCCAACCGCCACCTGCTGCACTTGCTGAAAGGCGCGCCGTAGTCCGCCGAGTCCACGACGAAGGTCAGACACTGCCACTCGTCGGTTTCCTGCAATTCGTCGTGCGGGATGCTCTCCCCCGGCCCGTCCGTGCTCTCCACGAGAACGAGCTCGCTGTTCTGCGCCGCATACTGCAGGAGAATGCTGGCCGCGCTGGTGCCGCTGGCCCCCGGGCGCCTGAACGAACAGCTCCCCAAGAGCAAGGCTGGGCCCCCCCTGGCGCGCGCAGCAGCACCTCTGGGGAGGCCGCCGACGCCCCGGATTCCGTCGTCCACGCTCCGCCCAGATCCGCCTAACGGCGCGCACCACCTCGCGAACACTTCAGCGCGCTGATTCGCCATGGTGCTCTTAGCCGCGTCCGTGCGGCAGTGGGCAGCGATGCGAAAACCCACCGACAAGAGACCGTGCTTCTGGAACACCCTCTGCAATTCCGTGAGCACGGGCGCCGCGACGAGCATTCCGTCGCCAAACGCCGCCACCGAGAGCGCCTGGGGCATCGATTCCGTGACGTACGCGGCGTGCTCTTTGAGGGCGGGGGGCATATAGGCGTCCACCCACTCCCCGAAGAATCGCAGCGCATGTCCACTAGCAACCGCGGCTGCATCGATCGCCTTCGGGGCTGGCCAAGCTGGCAACCAGTCATCTCGGATGACCTCGGGGTCTTCCTCGACAAGAGACCGTGCTTCTGGAACACCCTCTGCAATTCCGTGAGCACGGGCGCCGCGACGAGCATTCCGTCGCCAAACGCCGCCACCGAGAGCGCCTGGGGCATCGATTCCGTGACGTACGCGGCGTGCTCTTTGAGGGCGGGGGGCATATAGGCGTCCACCCACTCCCCGAAGAATCGCAGCGCATGTCCACTAGCAACCGCGGCTGCATCGATCGCCTTCGGGGCTGGCCAAGCTGGCAACCAGTCATCTCGGATGACCTCGGGGTCTTCCTCGCGCGGCTGCTCCTCCTCTCCGAGCTCGCCGCCGTCGCCGCCGCTCTCCTCGGCAAGCTGGCGCAGGTCGTCAGCCTCCGCCTCCGCGTCCGCGGCCGCCGCGTCGGCCTCTACTTCCGACGACGCCTTGCCGCGCTCCTCGCTCACTGCCCGACCCTCTCGGTCGCGGCCGCCAGCGGCGCCCTCGCGACGCACGGGGTCTGCCGAGGCGTCGTCTTCGGCGCGCCCAGCAGCGCCAGCTTCCGGCAAACCTTCCAGCGGCCCTCGAGCTTCCTCCTCGCCCGCTGTCACAGCCGCCTCCGCGGCTTCCCTGGCACTCGAAGCGGCCGCCGGCCGCCGAAGAGCGGGGGCCGCGGCCGCCCTCTTACCCGCACTCGAGGCCGGCGCCTCGGCCGGCATCTTCTCGGCCCCGCTGGCGATGGACGACGGCGCCTGCCTGGATAGGCGCGCTCGGAGCGGCGACGAGCCTTCTACAGTGCTGGCCCGCGCCGCCGCAGGCGCCACGAAGTTGTCGAGGTCGAGGCGCCCCCAGCGGCTCCCATCCGGGAGCTTCGGCAGTTTTTTCGGGGCCATCAGCCGCGCCGAAGCGGGCCGCGCGCCGAGGCGGCCTGGCCGCGCGGGCCCACTGCGCCGCGCGCCTTGAGCCAGAAAACTCTGGAGGGCAGCCTACTGACCCCATCGGGGCCCTCTCGAGGCCCCCCCCGCGGTTCCCAAGGCACATGTCCACGGACCAAACAAAAGCCTGCCTGGTTGTCTCACTGCCCGCCCTCCGCAAGGAGTGAACCAGATAATGAATATTATGGCCCTGGTCTTTCTCACCCCTTCCTCCCCCCGCCCCCCTCTCTTCCTCCTCCCTTCCTTCTCCCCTCCTCCTCCCAGTGTCCCCTCTCCTCCTCCCGCCCCCCTCTCTTCCTCCTCCCCTCTTCCCCCCTCCCTCCCCCCTTTCTCCTTTATTCCTCCTCCCTTCCTCCTTCCTTACTCCTCTGTACCTCCCCCCTTACTCCTCTATTCCTCCTCCCTTCCCCCCCTCCTTCCACCCTCTTCCCCTCTTCCTCCCCTTCCGTGCTTCGGGCCGATCGGGGATTCGACTTTTCTGTTCCGTGGATGGGAACATGATCTACCTTTGTAGGCTCTGTTTACCTGTTGCAGGAGCGTGCCTATTGCTTCCATTAGGTATCGTGCGCCTTTGCTGCTGCTGCTGCTGCCGTTGCTGCTGCCACGCCAGGGGCCCAGGAGCGCCAGGCGAGCGAGCTAATCCGAGTCAAGGGGCGGCAACTGGCCCGCCACGCAGGCAAGTGGCAGCAGCAGCAGCATCAGCAGTAGATCTGCCAACGGCCGAACCCCTGGCATCTGTAAAATGGTCGTCGTCCTCCTCCTCCTCCTCCTCCTCCTCCCCCTCCTCTTCCCTCCCCCCATCCTCCTACCCACCCATCCTCTTCCTCCTACAGAGCGAGGGGGGGGGGAGAGCAGCAACAAGAGCAGCAGCAACAACCAGAACCTTCGGCGGACAGGAACCGCTCTTGCTCTAACAGGGCGCGCCCTCGGCGCACGAAGACTGGCTTGAAATGCTGGCAACTGGCAGCAGCAGGAGCAGCATCCGCAGTTGATCAGCCTACGGCCGACCCCCTGGCAGGTGTGCGATGGCCCTCCTCCTCCTCCTCCTCCTCCTCCTCCTCTTCCCCCTCCCCTTCTCCCCTCTTTTCCTCCTCCTCATCCACGGATCCCGATTCGCCTGCCTGGGGCGGCATCGGTGCAAGTTTCAAGTCTGTTGCGTCCTCGTGGACGCGCCCAGCAGAGTACGGCAAAACCCTCCTGCGTCTCCTGCTCCTCCCCCGCCTTGCTTTCCCCCCCATCCTTCCTCATTTTTTTGCAGAGCGAGTGTCAGACTCCCCTCGACTAAGCACATCGCTCGCATTGTCCGTAGCAAACTTCCGAAGCTGGAAAAGCAAGACCTGTGGACAACCCCCGTGAGAGACCGCCACGGGCTGTCACTGCGCCATTCCCCTGAACTCTAAACCGAGCGTCAGCCCGCAACTCGCAGTGCATATCTCGCGCGCTGGACCTCCCCCCACCGCCTCGCTCTATCTCCTGCGCCCCCCTGCCTCCCGCGCCCCTCTCATCTCAGCGAAGCGGCCCCTGGGCGCCGGCCGCTCGACTGGAGAGCGCGCCAGGCGCCCCCGCCGCAAAGAAAAACACCACCGTGCCCCCGGACTCCTGCAGCGCGCACCTACGCGGCCTTGCGCGCGGACTTGCACACAGGGGCGCCGCCAATGCTGGCTCTCTTCGCCGCCAGAACCGCTGGGGAATGCGGCGTCGCCTTTGGAAACGACGCCGTGTCGCCCACCCTGGCCCTCTTGGCGGCCCCGGGCGCAGCCCGGGCGCACCCTTTCTGGTCAGTGCCGCCGGCCCCGCTCCCAGGCGCGCTGTCTGCTGCACCGCTGGCGCCCTCCGCCTCGCTCTCCCCGCTCGCTGCGCGGCCGGCGAGGATCGCCTTCCCCGCGTTCAGAAGGATCTCGGGGATCAGGCGGCCCTCGAGCGCGGGAAACTCCTCCTTCGTCTTGTCAAGCTCCTCTGCGACGCTGATGAGGTTCTTCATGGCATCGCGGACCTTCTGCCTCTGCTGGGTCAGAATCCTCGACTGGCCTTTCGCCTCCCAAATCGACGACGTCACGTTCGCGCACCAGGCGACCAGGAAGAGCCGCTGTCGCAACTGTGACGTCATGGAGTCCACCTGCGACTCAAGATGGGGGTCGCGGTACACCTCCTTTATGAGAGAGAAGCCACCGATCACCTGGAGCGAACGCGGGGTGGCGAGGAGGAGCCGCGGCGGAATGTACTGGGAACGAGGGGAGCTCGGTGGGATGAGACAGCGGGGGACTGGTGAAGGAACACGAGGAGCTGGGGAAGACGGCGAACAAGGATCTGCGCACCTTGTTGACAGCATCAACCATCTTCCCACCCTTGCCGCCGAAGGTCTCCGGCATGTCCACGGTGCCACCGACAACCTTTAAGAACTCGGCCGCTTCCTGCAGCGTCTCGGGGATGGGGCTCCTCTCAAGAAGCTCCTTCGCGGCGCGCACGGCTGGCTCGGCGTCGAACCGCTTGACGGAGCGTTCAGCCCGCTCCTGCGCGACTTTCTCCAGCCATGGCACGGCCTGCGCGTGCAGCTCCTTGCTGGCCCCCACTGCTGCCTCCACATCTTCCAGAGAAGCGTCGAAAGTCTTTGCGATGACCGTCTGGGAGGCGCGCTCCGGCTGCGCCATGTCCCCGAGCTGGCGCACGGCGTCGCTCGCGTTCTCCCGCAGCTCCAGGTTCAGCTCGCCCCCGGCCTGCTCGGCAAGCTCCTTGGCGTCGGCGACGGCCGCGACGCTGCACAGCCACACGTCCGCTTCCTTCCAGGTGTCCTCGGGCGGCTCCGCGCTCAGCAGCTTGGAGATATTCGAGAAGGCCTGCAATTCCTTCCGTTGCCACGCCGCCGAGTCCACGCGCTTCAGAGACTGTTCTGCTGCACCCTTGGCTCTGGCCAGAACGCTGTGGCCCAAGGCCCTGCGCACGCGCGCCGCCGTGCCCAGCGCGAGGGAGAACAGCGACTGCAGCCCCTCTACGTTGTCTTCCGCAGACACTGTCACGCCAGAGACCTTCAACAACGCCTCGGGGCTCTCCTTCAAGAGGTCGCACAACCGATTGGCTGTCTTCACTGGCTGCTTCATCCCAGGTACGTCGAGACGGCTGTACGCGGCGATGCCGGCGATCTTCTTCAATGCCCCGAAGGCGGTCTCGTGGGGGCCCTTGATGCCATCAGGCGCCCACTCCTCGACGGTCGACCAGCCGTGCTCCAACTCCAGCCGCTCGACGCACGCGGCAGTCAGGAGCTCCTCTGGAGAACGCGTTTCGGCGCCCAAACTACATTGAGAAGGCGCGCTGCTGCAGCACCTCTGGCACAAGGTGTTCTCCTCATCATCCTCCTCCCTCCTCCGCCTGCACTAGCCCCTGCGCCCAAGGCCAGCGACACCACGGGCTCCGTACGGTACCTGGACTTTTCCTCCCTGCCGCTACACGAGCCTGGGGGGGGGGGGCTCTTTCCATTCTTCCAATCACACTTCTACGTTCTACTAACACACGATTTCATACCCTCTCTTGTCCTGGATGTGGAACAATCTGTTGAATCTGGTGGTATACAACCCTCTGCATATCGCGGAGGCCTGGAGAGCGGAGGAGATCAGTTGCTCGTTGAAGTTTGCTGATGTGATACTTTGCCCAGCGGCGACGTGCAGACAGAGATTGAAGGCACCAGTCAGCACGATGAAGTTGTCGCATCACAAGATGTTTTCGTACGGATGGGAGAAAGGAAGACACACCAACAAAAGTGCAGGGTGTGCGATCTTCGTGAGAAGGAGGTGCATCAGGGACTCTCACATCTGCGAGGTGCGTGCTGCCCCTACGGATCTCGCAGGAAGAGGAGGCCTACTGAGAATCAAGAGCGGACAGTTCGATCTGACTTTGATCACGGCGTACTACCCACCGCCCAGCAACATGCCAGTTGAAGCATGGAGATCCACCTGCAAGAGAGTCACGGACTGGGTGCATAAGATGATTCAGGAGAGTAAGCAAAGGTCTCTCGTGGTGGTTGGTTTGGATTCTAATTGTCAATTTGGGACTCGGAAGGTTGGTCAAGGATTGCCGACGCCTACCTATGACGATTGTCACGTCGGTCGTTTCGCCACAGGCCTCGAGAGCGAGGTTTCAGAGGGCATATGGCGCATCCTGCGCATGGAGCGGATGGCAGTTGCCGATTCTTTCTTCCCGACGGGCCCGACATACTACGGCGTGGACTCGACCAGCAACCCCGACCACCTGTTAGTGCCAGTAGATGCCATCCAGCTCACACAGAAGTGCAAGATACTCAGACGTGCCCAGCGAGAGTTGCAAATAATACCAGATGTCAAGCCACGGGATCACGCGCCACTCCTCTGGGCGGCCCAGTATGCTCTTACCGCGCCGACGCCGACTCAGAGGGAGCCCAGATGGGATCGTGATCAGATATGGAAGATGCTCCAGCACGATGGCAGTGGAGCAGAGATACTTATGGAGATTGAGAGACTATCCGCGTCCAAGCAGCAGGAGTGGCACAGGGACACAGACAAGGTTGACCCCAGCCTGGCCTGGGACGCACTCGTGACCGATTTACGCGCTGCTGCTCTTCCAGAGCTACAGCAGACGAACCAGCAGGGGAGCCTGTCTAGAGATTATCGTGAACGACGACGTGAACTCCTGGAACTTCGACGGCAGCTGAAGCTGAACCCTCAAGACCAACAACTTCTGGGACAACTTGGGACCCTACTGGCAGATACACGACTGAGGCACCCGTCCAGATTGGCCCCTGATACTTCGAGGCTACCAGTCCAATTTCTCGGTCCACCCGCCCCTCGGAGAGTCGTGGGACCTGCTGCTGCTGAACTGGACCCACTGCGACCTGCAGACGCCTTCTGGAGGAATAACACCGAGGATCTGGAGTGGCAGTCTTCTCAGCTGGGATTTGGTGTTCCTGCTATTGGCCAGCTACCAGAGTTATCCCTGATTGGAAGACGTTTTATTCGAGATCAGCGAGACGCTGAGGGGCTATCTGTTTCAGAAGAGACCGCTGGAGGACGACACGATCGGCCTGACGTCCCTCAACCTGGACTGCCTGCTGGCGAAAATCCTGGCGCGCCTGGCGCGCCAGGTTCTGTCGTCGCAGGGCAGTCGACCCCCTCCCAGAGGCCCTCGGGGTTGGAGGAATCGCTCCGAGGGACACCGCGTGGAGGCGGCGGCCAGCCCGTTTTGCCGGATGCTCCCATGGCAAGTGCCACTGCTGGAGGACGACACGACCGACCTGACGACCCACATCCTGGACTTCCTGCTGGGGAAAATCCTGACGCGCCTGGCGCGCCAGGTTCAGTCGTCGCTGGGTGGTCGACCCCCTCCCAGAGGCCCTCGGGGTTGGAGGAATCGCTCCGAGGGACACCGCGTGGAGGCGGCGGCCAACCCGTTTTGCTGGAGGCTCCCATGGCAAGTGCCACACGTGTCGCAGAGGAAGTTCGGGTGCGACTTCGGGCGTTGGATCGACTTATCAAGCGAGAGCGACGACACCTGGACACGCTTCACATTGACAGACTACTGGAAGAAGCAGAATTACATCGACGCTCGAACGACACCAGCAATTTGTGGAAGGTGGTCTATCAGATTGGAGCGAGGTGCAGGGGGCCACGACAGCGGGCGTGCAACGTCCCAGACTCGTATCGCCCGAGCTTGCAGGAGTGGGAGGAGACAACGAAAGCCTCTGCCAAGGACGGGGGCTTCTCGGCCAAGGTGCTGCAGTCGCCGTCGGACCCAGCCTGGCCCGAACTCCAGCGCCTGCAGGAGGACGGCCCTGAAGACCTAGGCGGTGCTGCAGCCTCGCTCGCCTGGGACGACTGGTTCCGCACGCTAGGGCAGCTACGCCGTGCAGCGAGGAGGAGATATGCTCCGAGCCACTCGTTGCCAGCTGAACTGTGGTACTGGCTTGCACAGCATGTCACGAAGCAGATCACGGGAGAGTGGCCCTTCACACATCACATGACGGAAGCACAATTGGAAAAGGTGGAGTCCCGCATGCACGTTCACTGCCCGAACTTCGCGGAGCGACTTCGGAGGCTATTCAGACAATTTAGGGTGAAGTCTAGGACTCCGTCGTGCTGGCACTGGAGTAGGACCTTTCAGCTCTCCAAGGGGAACCTCAAGCGGGGCACGAAGGCCATGCGTCTTATTCATTGCTATTGTCCGATGGGGAAAGCTTGGTATCGGGGCCTCTACCTTCGCAGTGATCATCCTCCCCTGCCCCCGCACGCACATGGATATGCAGCACATCGAGCACGACAAAACGCACAGTTGGTTGCAAAAATACACAGCTGGAGGCTGAAGAAACTGGGGATATCACACATACTCGTCAAAAAGGACATGTCGAATGCGTTTCCCTCGACCTCGCACGAGGAGCTTGCGCGCACGGTCTTAGAGGTTATTCCGCACCCGCAAGATCGTGCCTATTTTCATCAACGGCACGAGGAGGCGGTGATGGAGATCAGGGCGGGAGAGGAAGTGGGGTACTATCAACCGACGCATGGATCTGGGATGGGGGACGGGAACGCTTGCGAGCTTTTCGTGCGCAGCTTTCTTCGCCCTGTGGAGGCCTGGCGGGACGAGCTACTAGAGCAGCCAGATTTGTACCAAGTGGCGCGTCAGTCCCAACCAGTGCCTCTCTGCAGGGCCGCCAACATCATGACGTGCGCGCTGACAAATGTGATGCGCGACGTCTCAGTCAGAGACTATGCAGATGATATACATCAGACCGTACCCTTGTGTGCCCCGAACCCTGTAGAAGCAAGGCAAAAACTCCTGGCGTCTAACCTGATCCTGGACAGAAAGCTGGAGGAGGGAGGCGGTTTTTTCTCAGAACCCCGACAAAGAGGTGTGCATGCCAGTTATGACGGGCCCTGGGGCATACACGGCCACTCGAGTATTACTTGCCAAAAGTATTGCTGTGCCTGGGGTGGTGGCCGCAGAGAGTCTATATCTGGGAGGGATGGAACAGCTTACGGGCGGGAGTGCAGCAGAAGTCAGGCGGAGGGTGGAGGCGACGAGGTCAGCATGGAGGAGGATGGGCAGGTTCTGGGAGGTGACACATTCTATTCGATTGAAGAGGATGGCGTTTAAAGGCATCATCTTGTCGGCTGCATACTCGGGGTTGGAGACCTACCTTCTCAGTAAGCAGGACCTCCGCCGACTGGATGCCGTCGTCCTGGGCTTCGCGAGAGCAGTATTGCGCGATCGCAAGCCTGAGATTATAGAAGGCGCTCCAGACGGGGCTCGACTGAAGTACCGCTCCCTGTCCGAGAGCACGCTGCTGACAAAAATGCGCATCACCAATACCCGAGCAGAGCTGCTGGTCCGAAGGCTCCGCCAGTGGCAACGGTTCGTCGAGTTTCCCCAGGACAGCAGGCAGCCCTTGGTAGCGCTCTTCGGGACCTTGGAAGGCTTGGAGGAGGTTGACACCTTCCTGGAGGACGGGACGGTGAGCCCGTCCGCGAACCCGTGGGCCCAGTTGCTTCAGAAGGACCTTCAGGCCTTGCAGTACCTCGAGGGGGGCCCCGAGTTCCTGGCTGAGTACACGGTTCGGGACATCTTCACGAGGGACTTCGTGGGTAGGCTCTTCTGCAGGTTCAATCCAGAGAAGCTCAGAAAGGTACCAGAGGTTCGAGGCCCCCGAGGTAATAATCACACAGAAGACCCCGAGCAAGGCCCTCCAGAGGCGCACGTTTGTGAGCTCCCAGGGGAAGATCCAGAGGTTGTCTGTGGGCAGGTGTTCTACAGCAAGGGGGCTCTGTGGGCGCATCAGGTGCATCATCCCTCACATAAATTGCGAGTCCCTGCACATTTGCTCGTCGTCACCAACCAGTGCCCCTATTGCATGTCCACGTTCAAGAGCGAGGTCACGGCCAAACGTCATGTTGCCATGTCACTACGAAAACGCCGATGCATCACAGATTGGAGCCCATATGCACCAGAGCCTATCGTCCCGTCTGATCTCCACTGTCCCTTCTGCCTGGATATCGACACGACCCCAGAATGCTTCGTTTGTAACATGCCACCTGGCACAAGAAAGATAGGGGCCTTTGAGAGCCTTGCAGAGTTACAGATACACATTCGGGAAGTACATGCACCACCTGCACCTGATCTAATTTACTACGAGACTCCGAACTTTACACCTAAAAAAGACACGAGTAAATTAATTAATACAATACTACGAGACTCCGCCTGATGGATCTGGCCTCTCGCGCCCTCAGCGTCGGAGGGGCAGACAGGGCCGCCGCCTTGCGCTCACGCAGCGGGGAGCGCGGCGCGGGCGCAGCACGGAGAGGTGGCCCGAGGCCCAGCAGGGAGCGCCCCTCAGCAGGAGGCCATCAGAGGCGCGGGCCTGCGGCGGAGCCTCCGCCCGTGGCCGCGGGCGCGGGGCTGACGGTGGGCGCCGGCCTGCCTGCCCCCGCCGCGGTGGCGCACGCGGCGGCGGGAAGCGCGCTGCCACCACCTCCGCAGCAGCAGCAGCATCAGCGCCAGCAGCAGCCGCCTCCACAGCAGCAGCGCCAGGGCAGCAACATGAACCAGATGCTAGCGCAGCTCTTCGACGCGGCCGACAACAGCTACGGCCTCAACCGCGGAGACGTCCTCCGCCTCGGGGACGAGCCGATGCCGATCGAACTGGTGCAGGCGATCATGCCAGTACTGGTCAGGTCGATGTTGCACACGCGGCAAGGGCTGGCGGCGCTGGAGTCGGTGGTCTTCAACATCGCGCACCTGCAGGCGGACCACGAAGTGTGCCAGGCGATGCGGCTGACGGGCAGGTACTTTGTGCAGGAGGCGCAGCGCCTCCGCCTCCAGCATCGCCAAGAGATTCAGAATGGAGTGAGGGTCGTGGAGCTAGACAAGCTCGGTGTACCACGTCCTCACTTATGGCTCACATTAGTCGGGGCATTGCAGCAGCAAGGAGATCGAGTGGGCGCGCAGACGGCAGCGATAATCAAGACCTACATGGACACAGTGAAGGCCGACCAGAGCATGACCAACGAGACGCTGGACTCTCACTGCAGGTTCTGCAAGATAGGCTTCACGCACGATCGGGCGACGATGAAGATCTTCCTGGAAGCCAGCGGGTCAGGGATCCAAGTGGAAGTACTCGCGGGCCTCGTCCAGATCGGGGCGAGCATCAAGAGAGGGACGCCTCCGCGGTCCCACCAGGAGAGGCTGATGCAGTTGGCGCTGGATGGAATGGAGAACCTCAGCTAGTGAGTGACCTGAGGCATTCTGAGACCCGTCCAGTTCGAGGCGCTGCCATCAGAGCGGCGCCACCACGCCCTGCTGCACGAGCCCGCCAGCCACCAGCAGATGCACCCGCACGAGGCGGGACCTCCACCTCCACTCGTCCTCGCCTCACCTCTTCCTCCTCCCTTGACGATGCGATCTTCCGTCTCATTAATGGCCCCGTAAGGAGGGGGGAAGGAGGAGCCCGACGGTGACAATGCTGTTGGGGTAGCCTCGGCCCCGAATTTACGGTCCCCCTCTCCTGGGCCCAATTTTTTGGCTTTTGAATTTCGGTTCTGCGTTCCTGTGCCCTAGTTCCCTCCTGGGTGCTCCTGGGACTTCTCCTGTGTGTTGGTAGTCTTGTAGTTTTGTCGAGGCCTACGCGTGGCCTGGCCCCAGGGTTATCTCCGAGCTGGGTTGGCCGTGGCACGCGGGCCCCCCCCCCCTCCGTGCGAATGCACCGCTATTCGTTAGCGCACTCTAGGCGCTTGAGCTGTCCTGCGAATGCCCCGTGTTAGAGCAGCCAGACTCGTGCACCTGCAGAGCTCCGCCGCCGCCGCCTCCACTTCCTCCTGATCGTTCTGGCGGTCCGGGGTCCGGGGGCGGTTCATCTGTCTGTGTCCTGTTTCTCGCTATCGGACAAGGAATCTTTCCTCAGGCCTGCTGCGGCTCGCCCCACCTCCTCGCGGGGCGAGCGCAAGAGCAACCCGAGGACCACGTCCTCGAACGCCGTGCCTCGACAGGAGGCAAACACAGGCAACGGCGAGGTCAAACATCCCATGCTCAAGTAGGAGAAAATAAGGCGCGCCGCAGCAGCACCGGCCAAACTAAAACCAATGGCGGATCGGAAACCCTCGAACCTCATCGAACGGACTCGCGATCTTGCGGAGGCCCGCCCGCGGCCTTCCCTGGCGAGTTGGTGCCGGTCGGCCTCCTGCAGCGCGCCCGCCGTGGACACGGCCTCCTTCTGCTTCTTGCAGGCGCGCGACACCTCCTCGGTCCAATTCTGCCACTGCTCCCCGGCGGCATGGCCCGTCACCTGCGCGAAGAGCTCCCGGGCTGCCTGGGCGCACTGGAGAGCAGCCTCCTCGTGGGACCGCATCTGCCCAACCAACGAGGACTTTGCCGCCCGGGCTCGTGTTCAAAGCGACGCCCAAGGCTCCCTGCGAGCGCCTCCTCCTCAGTCAGCGGGGCAGTGCTCGCGCGCGACACTGCCCAGAGAACTTGGATTTGACCCTCAGCTCCTCCTCCCACACTGGCCGCGCAGGGTCGGCGGGGGCCCGCTGGAGAGCATCCCGCGCGGCGCCAGCGAAGGCAACCACGGCAGCAAACGATCCGCCTCCCTTCTTGGCGTCCGACTTCGCGACGGCCGAAATCAGGCCCGTGCCGACTCGCTCGAGGGTCGTCGTCGCGAGATCTGCCGAGGGCGCGCCATCTGCAGCGCCGCTTTCCAACAGGGACATCAGCTGTAACCAATCGCAGCGCTTGATGGCCTCGTCTGCCTTCCAGCTCCTGAACCGCATGTGGTACGCCACGCCGAACGCGATGTCCTCCGCCGCGGCGATCTCGGTGTCTTTCAGGAGAGTCACGGTGTTCCCTGGCTTCTCGCTCACAGCAGCCTGCGGACTCCTCCGCCTCCTCTGGTCCCCCATCGCTCAATCTTCTTCCTCCTCCGCCTCCGCCGCCTCCTTTGAACTGGGCCGGGGGCCTCCAAGCCCCCGTTCACAAAGAGGAATGAACAACTGAATGCGTACTGTAGCCCCCTCCTCCCTTCCTCCCCCATTCCTCCTCCCTTCCTCCTCCCTTCCGCGTCCCTTCCTCCTCCCTTTCTCCTGCCTTCCGCCTTCCTTCCTCCTGCCCCCCCTCCTGCCTTCCCCCTCCCTTCCCCCCTCTCCCCCTATCGTCCTTCTCCTTTCCTCCTCCCTTCCTCCATCGACGACGACGACGACGACCACGAACGCGACCACGACCGCGACCACTCCGCCTTGACGACCCGCACTGCCGCGGCCAGCGCCTCCTCTGAGCGCGCCAGCCACGCCTTGTTGATCTGCAGCGCCTGCGCGCCGTCATCCGGGATCTTCCCCATCTTGGCCGCTGCCTTCTTGGCCGTGTGGATGGCGCTCTCTGCGGCTGCCGCCTGCTCAAAAGCCGTGGCCTTGAAGTGGGCTCTCCCCTCCTTCGTGGACAGGTCCACATCTCCGCTGAAGTCGAGCAATTTGTAACACTCCCGGAACGTGTTGAAGAGCGCGTCGGCCTCGCCCTTGAGTTTCCCGCCGGCCGCTGTGAGGCTGAATTCGAGGGCCTTCCGCCCCCTCTTCTTCGACGCGGAGCCGCCCTCGAGAGGTGCTGGCTCGTCCGGCTGCCCGCCGCCCTCGTCGGAGTCGTCGGGCGGCTGGGCGAGCAGGGGCGCGGCCCACGAACCGCCGCTGCCGCGCTTCTTCCCTGGCTGGCTCCGGCCCGAGCGCTGCGGGGTCGCCAAGGGCGGACTGGCGCTGCTGCCGTCGGCTGGCTGCGCCGAGGGCGCGGCCGTCTGAGCAGGGGCGCGGGCGGCTGACCTCTGCGGCGGCGCCTGCGCCGAGGGCGCGGCGCACTTCGAAGGGGCAGCGGCTGCGGGCGCGGCAGCCCCTTTGGCGGCAGGCCTCTCGGCTGTCTGGGCGGGGCGCCCGGACGTAGCCCTCCCGGTCGTCTGGGCTGGTGGTCTGGCCTGCGGCTTGGTCGCAGCCTTGGGCGCGGGCTTGGCGGCGCGGGCCGTGCCCCACAGGCCCGACAGCGCCGCGGCCACGAGATCCGTCTCTTCGGCGTCCTCGTCGCTCGCGGGAGAGTCGGACTGGTGCCCCTCCGACGGCGCGCTCTCTGCTGCACCGATCTCCGCGCGCTGCGTGGCGCGCCGCAGGGCTGCAATTGGGGCCACGGCGGCCTCGGCAGCAGCCGCAACCTCAGCCGCGTCCGCGTCGTCGTCTGACTCGGCCACAGTCGCCAGCACCGTCCTGTCCTCCACCTTGCGATCGTCGTAGTCCGCGATGTCGTACAAGAACTTCTTCGCGCCGTCCTTCATGACATATACAACCTGCCAGTAGGAGAGCAGAAAGGGAGGGCATTTCAACGATGAAGGAAGCGAGTGGGAAGACGACTTGGCAGCGCGCCTCCTGCCAGGCGCCGTCGATGAGCTCCTCGCCGCGACAATTCGGGTCCGTGGGCAGCGGCGTCTCAGGGAAAGCCTCGTGCCACTTGCTCTCGGGGCAGGCTTGATGCCAGTTCGCAGACAGGCGACGCCCGGAGACCTTGACGGAAGATACCTGGCGAGCCTGCTGGATGTCTCCCGCGGCCTGCCTGGACATGCGGCGGCGCTTCTCTGGGTCCTTCCCCGCCTGGCTCTGGACGTACGCATCCACCTTGAGCCGCACGGTCTGCGCCCGGCCCGCATCCTGGCGCACCCACTTGATGTACTCCTTCAGCGGCTTCTTCTCGCCGCCAGGCAAGTGGGGGTCCAAGAGCACCGCCTGCGAGAGAGAGAGAGAGAGAGAGAGAGAGAGAGAGAGAGAGAGAGAGAGAGAGAGAGAGAGAGGGGGCTGGACCAAGTCGGAATCGCGTCGGACATGGGTCGGGGCCGCGTGGGACTCGAGTCGCGTCGGGCCCCGCGCAGGATAGGCCGGGCGGGGCACCCCTGCGGATCGAGCGGAGGTGGAATGTCCAACGGCAATGCTCGAAGTCGCCTCGCCGCGACCAGAAAAAAATGCATTCCTCTGCCGGTTGCCCTTTTTCTCTTGCGCGGAATTGCAATGCGCTGAATTTAAAATTGCATCTTTTTGTGAATTTATTGAAAAAAATCATTTTCCCCCCAAAAAAAGTTATGTTCACCAAAACCACTTTTATGTTCACCAGGGCGATTTTATGTTCACCAGGGCGGTTTTATGTTCACCGGCCGGAAATTCAAAAAACAATTATGTTCACCAAAACCACTTTTATGTTCACCAGGGGGATTTTTTGTTCACCAGGGCGGTTTTATGTTCACCGGCCGGAAATTCAAAAAAACAATAGGACATAAAAAAAAAAACAAAAATTGAAATTTGCAGCCCGCGCGGGCAGAGAAAAATTGAAAGCGGCGGGCTCGATTTCAGCGAAATGTCCCTTGCCCGCCTGCCTTCTTGCGCAACAGGGCCTTGCAAACCAGGCACAAATAGCCCGTGGCCTGGCGGATCATGCTGCCATGGTCGGCGTGGTACTTCCACGGCCAGTATCCGCCGAACTCGTCCTCGTTACTCGCCTGGGGATACGGGCTCGGGCCCGTGCTCTCGTGGGCGCAGAGACCGCACGTGAAGCTGGAACCATCCTTCTTGTTGAAAGGTTTCACCAGATAGCCAGCCCACTGGTCAACCACCACGAGGGCGACCTGAGAGGAAACGGGAGCCAAGAGGGAGGAAAGGAGGCGAGGCGAAAGAAAGGAAGGACATAAGGAAGTGCACAATGACGGGGGCCCCTCGACCTCGAGGCCGTGCAGCATGCGGCCCCGCCGCAACCCCGAGGCCAGGGGCGGCGCTTTCTCCGTCTCCCCGTCGGTGTCGGAAGGCGATGCCTTCACCGTCTCCGCGCGGGACATCGCGGGGAGCGAGGGGGCGGGCGCGGCGGCGGGCAGCGAGGCGCTGGCGCGGACGGCAGCTTAGCCGCAGCTCGGGAACAATGCTGCGCCGAGAGACGCGGCGAAACAGCGATTGGAGCAACGATCAGGCGACAGCTGCGCGATTGCAGCGGGCGGCCGCGGCGGCGACAACGGCTCTGAGAAATGCACTTTTACACGCCTACGCTTCGTATCTGTCCTGGCGGGAAGATCACCCGCCACTGGCCCGCCTCTCCTCCGAGTCCCTCCAAGGCTGGCTCTCGGGCATGCCCTCGAGGACCGCGCGAGCAGCGGCGATCTGCGCTGGCGTGGGCACCTTTTGTTTATGGTCTGCCTTGCTCCCGCATCCAGGGGCCTCCCCCAACCACCACCACAAAGCGGCCAATGGTCTGACCCTTGATTGTTGGTTCCATGAACAGCCTGGATGGAGGCCACAGACGGCGCGCATGTCGTAGACGGCGAGGGCCTCGTTCTCGACAAGGCGAATGTAGTGAGGACGGCCAGCCCCAGCGGGATGTGGGAGCTGCGGGTATCGGGCGACGCGCGGGCGCCTCGGCGCGCCCGCGGGGGGCGGCGGCGGCGCCGCCGCCGCAGCGTGGCCGCCCAGCGGCCCGTGCGCCAGAGCGGCGTCCGGCGCTGCTGCGGGAGGCGCCTCCGCTGGCGCGCCTTCTGCTGCACCCTGCGCCCCGCGACCTCTCTGCCGCCAGGCGGCGGCGGCCTCCCAAGCGGCCTTCCAATCCTTCGCGTAGTCAGGCTCCTCATCCCCGCCACGCGCGCCGCTGCCCCCCCCGTCGGCGGAAGCCCCGCCAGGGCGGGAGTCGGCGAACGCCTGGAACCAGCCCGTCGCCAGGTCAACGTCCTTCTCGTGGAGGCGTGCCTCGTGTAAGTCCCGCTCCTCCGCCCAATCGACCGAATACTGCAGCTCTGAGCAACCCATGCGCGGGCGCGCAAGAAGTTCGACCCAGCGCAGCTCAGCCCGGTCGCGCCCGCACACGCGTAAGATGTGGAGGGCGACGTCGATCTCAGTCATCATCTTCAACACTCTGCGGCCCTTCCTCTCCACCCAACACCGGCGCAGAGAGAATGGCACCTCGGGGGGCGCCGCGCCGAGCCCGCATGGCTGCCCCACCACGTCGCACTCGCAGAACTCCCCCGTGAAAATAGGACTTTTCAAGTGCGAGAAGTTGCGAATCATCACACAGCCTCCAGGCCCTGAAACCTGGAGGGTCATCATCTTCCCGACAGTCTTGCACCTCGCAGGGGCCACCAACAACCGCAAATCTTCCACTACGCCTTGGTACTCCCCCCGCAAGTCGGCGACGCCGCCAAGGCATTCTGCCGCGCGCGTGCAGCAAGGCCGCTCAGTTGGGAGGCCGCAGCGAATGAGTCCTGGAGGCGCCACAGCAGCATTGTACATTTCGTCAAACGACACGGCCGTGGCTTCCACGAAGGATCCCCTCTTCAGCTTCGCATCGACATGTGCTTGCACGGCTGCGGAGACAAGGTCCTCGGACAAGGGGAACTCGTCTGAGCCGAGACCCCAAGGCCAAGCAGCTTCGTCCGACTGGTCAACGTGGTCGCGACAGATGCGCACGTACTCGTGCAGCGGGTCTGGCTTCATCCTCTCAGCCTTGTTCGCGCGCCGAGCCGCCTCTCTCCAGCTTCGCCTCTCGGCCTCGGATGCAGCCCGCCAGTCCGCGGCCGCCTGTAGATACAGACGCCGCTCGTACTCTCTCGGGTCTGCCCATGGCGCCCGCGGCTGCGAATCTCGCAGATCAGCCACGCGACGGTGGTAAAACATATAATGGCCCAACCTCTTGCGCCGCTGGTTGCCTCCTTTGCCTTGGGCCCAGATCGGTTTCGAGTGGCCGCTCTTCTGCAGGAGTCGGCCCCGCTCGGTGCGCAAGTCGCGCCCGCGGCGCCTTCTCCGCCCCTCATCGTGACAGCGAACAACCTCGGAGATCACGTGCTTGGCGGAGAGCGTCGCGGCGTTCGGAGGTCTGTTGTTCATCGTCTGGAGGTGGGCTCTCATCCGCGCAAAAGCCAATCCCACGCGCCCTTCAGGGCGCAAGTGGTCTAGGGAGATTCCTCTTCCAACCCCCATTCTTTCCCGTTTGCGGAAGGGTCTACCCCTCCCCCGCGCCCCCTCCCCAGGACCTGGGCGCGGGGGCCCGCAATAGGTTAGAGCGTCAAGAATGGCCCAAGACGGCCCCTAGGGTCGCAGACCGCAGCCGTGAAAAAGCCAACTCGCCTGGGCGACGTTTCTGGATGGGCTGGTGGGGATCTGCGCAACGCCAACAATTCGGAATGCACCGTCGAGGCCATCGCGTACCTAAAGCACGCGGAGAGAAAGCGCTGCACCTCTGGCAGGAAAAGGTCGTCAACGCCCGTGGTGCACATCTTCCTCAGCCTCAAGGAGAACCCCGAGTCCAGGCAACACTCGTTTGCCCGAAAGAGTTCTTCGCCTTCTGCGCGGCGGGCCCCCATGTCCAGGGAGGCGCCCACGAGCCGCATGAGCCTCCATGGGTAACCGCTCAAACGAATGTCGAAGCGACGATAAAAGGACCCAGTGAATACGTGGACGATGGCGTCTGCTTCGCGGAGGACCTCGCCGGGCCAGGACGCGAGGGGGCCGTGCAGGGCAAGCGGCAATCTCCACAAGTCGTAATGTCCAGCTGCAGCGGGGTCAAAGGCTGAGCTCAGCTGAGCGAGCGTGTCAAAGACGACGCTCTTGCAGAATGACGACAGCGCAGACCCCTTGGGGTCGAGCCAGCCATGCAAAGACCCACGTTTGAAACATGCGTAATGAAATCGCATCCCCACGGCGGCCACGGCCACCCACAGGACCAGCCGTTGCCGCGCAAGTAGATCGGAGAGAAACCTCATCATCTTGACGGTGCGAACATGCTGTTCACGCCTGAAATCCCCCAGGCCCGCTGCGCCGCTGCCGCTCTCGAGGCCGCCATCTTCCCGCCGCATGGCGCGCACAGCAGCGCCGCGCGTCTTCTCGAGCGCACGCGGCAGCAATCCATGCAAGGAGATCAACAGCAGCAAGACGCACGCGGTGGGATGCACAGTGTTCCAGCGGTTCAACGCGGGCACTGCCAAACGCCTGCGCAAAGGAACCATCGCCGCCGCCACCGCTCTGTCGACAGACTCCTGCCTGTTCGCGCAGCAGTCGCGGCCCCTGCAATGGTGCACAGGCCTCTCTTGAGACACGTCGCCGGTGAACATCTCCTTGGTCAAGTCGACCTCTGGCTTGGTGAGGCCTCTACGTTGGCCGCGCGCCGCTGTCACCTCCTCGTCCTCCACGTCCTCATCCATCTGGCGGTCGCAATGCCCGAGCAGCATGTCGAGCTTCCCCCTGCCCGCTGGATTCGGCGCGCCCCGCCGCACCTCCAGACCAGCCTCCTCGTCCGACAGGATTTGCCGCAGAGCTGTCTCGAGGGCCCGCAAGTTGGCCCCTGTTTGCAAGTGTCTGACAGTGGAAAACATGCCGCCGACGACCCCCGTCATGTCCCCGACCGACTGCAAACATATTGCGGCTTGATGCTGCAAACAAAAAGAAGGCAACAGGAGGACCCACCAGGGCAACGTCTGCAGCAAATATTTGCACACCAGCCCGTTTGCGGCCACAGAATCGACGCTCGGGGACAAGCGCGCCAGCAGCGCCGACGGCCAGAGCTCACCCATATCCACGCGCAACGCCCGCGCGAGGCCTCCGAGCATGCAGTCGGCGGTTGCAGATTCCAGCACGGACGGTGGGAAGATAAGCTCTTGGCTGTGGACGCGGAGGTCCTCGTCTTCCCAATGCAACACGCCGTGCTGTGTCATCACTTGCTGCCCATAAGGAGGCTTGCCGTCGTTCAGCTGCACAGTGAACTT